AACAGACGGTGCTCGTTTTGAATAGTTTTAACATTTAGTCTTAACTATCGTTTGTTTACATATTGGCGCATATTCGATATATTCGAAGATGTTCTCAATTGCTGATGGCAGCTTTGTTGTACAAGCTAATGAATAAAACGTTGATATTCGAAGATAGCTACTGCTGCACAGTAGTGAACTATAATAATAAAATCTAGCAAAAGTTTGAAAAGCAGAAATTTTTGTCATTAGCAGTTTTTTTCAGTTAAAAGATGTGAATATTATTACTTAGATATATCATAAATAGCCTTTCATGACTTGTCTCATACTTGTTTGTAACAGAGAATTTTTATTGATAAGACGACAGCATGTAAATGCTATCAGTATAAAGAACAGTGTAAGTTCGCAACACTCATTTCTGTCGATTCCTGGAAGTGGATGCTTTTTGTGGGTGACCTGCACAGCAGTGTAGGAAAAGTATGAGAAAGAGTAGTCTTTCATTTTAAAAAAGGCGCTTTAATTATCAGCATTAACTGAAGTCATATGCCTGCTACTAACTAAATAAGTAGTACTGTAATAAATGATTGTATGATTATTTGCTGTTTAATTTTCAGCCGTGTTCACTTAGTCATCTTAACTGTTCTGTCGAATTTAGGCTATATTCAAGGAAACTCAGCGCCCTAGCCGCGAAGTACAACAGACGATCGCTCAGCAGCTTGCCCTGGATTTGTCAACGGTGCAGAACTTTTTCATGAATGCCCGGCGGCGGTCACGGCTTTTCCAAACCGTAAGCGATTCGCCGGGTCCCAACCAGCAGGTGAGGCCGATTACGCCTCCTCCTTCAACCGGGAGTCAAGAAAGCGTTACACAACAGGATAGCAACGGTAGCATCGTGTACTACCCTACGTTGCGACAGAGGCGGCTGCGTGCACAGAACAGGTTCAGGGGTGGGAACGGGGAAGGTGGTGACGGAAGCATCATGCCAAAGGAGGAGGACGACCAGCTAGAATCAATGTCCTCGTCGTCACCGCCGATCCCATCGACTACAGCCACAAGCTTCGGTCTGAACGCGATGACAACAGCCGCTGAAGAAGCTGCCACAGCGTCGAACAGCGGGATCCCTCGCAATAGTGAATTCCACCGTCACCACCAGATGGTCAAGGAATACTCTGCGGCGATGAACGACGCCCACGAGCTGCACTCGCTTACGAATTCAGCTTAGATTTCGGCCGCACGCAGCTAGTCTCCCTCTTTCTCCTCCTGTCGCAGAGTTACGATTCTTTTCGCTGAATTGCACGCCGTCATCATTCCCATCGTTGTCTCTCGAAGCCCTACCACTTCCCACTTCCGGCGTCTATCTGTCCATCGAACGACTGATTTGTGGCCGCTAATTAAGGCTGCCGTTTCTGCTTTCAGTGCGTCGCTGACGGCATTCATTTCGTTGTTCGTAATATATTTTGTTGTATATTCATAAATATTATGGTCATGTGCCTTTTTATTGTTTTTTTTTGTACTTATTCATTTGGTTTTCTTTTGATAATATATGCATATTGTAGAAATGGTAGGTTTTTTTCGTACTTGAACAGCATCGTGTAAGGCAAGATAATATTTTTTTACTTTATATTTGGAGCAGGTAGTAAATTTTTGATTCTCTGTTGATAATTTTTTCGTTAAAATAATGATCTACATGTTCGAGTCATGAATGGACAGTCGTTATTTTAATATCTTGTTCTCGTCATAAATTTTTTCGACGTGCTTTGCGTGATTTTATCGATCGCCTTTTGTTGTTGTTGGCAACGCGTTTTGTTTTAGATTTGAACAGTTGGCAATATTCGACCTCATAAGGCGGAACTTATGTCAGTGAAAGTTATTAGTAGTTTCTTATTTTTTGCATTTGCTGGCTTTTCACGCATCTTCCCTTTTAAAAGAAATTAATTTAACGTCGTATTCGTGTTTTCCAGAGATAAACATCTTCAGTCGTTACTGTTACTTCGATCCGGCGGCAATTGATGCATACTGGCACTTTGTCCATCTACATACATACACTATACATCTGAAGTGTTACTCATGTTTCTTCTTATTAGGTGCATTACTGTATGGTCAATAAACGCATTCATAGGCTTCACGAAAAGCAATGTAACGGCAGCATCTGAAGGTGCTACAGGTGTAAAATATTCATGATTGCGTAACAGCTGAGACCGATTCAACCATTTAATGTTTTTCGACGACATGCTGTCGGTGAAGACCGCATAAAATTCTTTCTTGGTAAATTTCGCTAAAACAATTTACATGACAGTTTTCATGCAAGAACTTGATGTTGTCATCAAAAAGGAATGATTGAAAAAGTCATCAGCTACATATACTTTAGAAAAGATCAGCATACTGTCTGATTTGGACAGAGGGAACTTTTAAGGAGAAAAACTGATGGTAGAGTTATAAACGCGCCTTTAAAAACAGTTCGACATTCACAAGTCAAACCGTACCGTCAGCAATGTTGTGAATGGGAATGAACGGTCCCAAGCCAAACGAGATGAAGAACAGCTCGGATTTGCATGATGCGATGGATGTTATGGAAGTCCAGAAGAGGATAAGTGACGAATGAACATATCTATTAGATAAACGGAATAAAGAAAAGGTTGTCCTGGAGGCATGCAAGACGTAAGTTAAATGGAGGCGGACACAGCACGGCTGAATGACAACAACTGAACAGTCCGTTTTTGAATGTTATTTCTTGTATGCAGACATAGCAACATGGACGTCTCAGTCAGATATTGTGGCAGCGTCATCATCTTTAAAATCATTGAGTACATCTACCTAGGTTAAAAACGCTGAGAATCCATCCTCGCTGTGCTAATCAAAGATTTTCTAACCAAGGATTGTTTTCCGGACAGGAACATTTTCAAGTTTGTAAACGTGCTTCATGCCGTTATACTCTACTGTTCTTTTCGTAGATTGATTTTGAATCATGCAGCGACCAGCTATCCCAGAGATGCAACTGCAGCTTTTCAATGTTGAGCAGGGTCCAGTGATTTGAACCGCGTATGAAGCCACGTGAACATGAATTGAATCTTCGTTCTTAACATGCATCATTTCTAGAATCTTCTTTATAGTTCTTGAGGCTTTGTAAGGATCAAAGATTCACAGAAACTGTAGATAATGTAAATAGAATCTGTTTATTTCCAACGTTAGATTTTACAGGTAGAGTGTCTTGAAAGATCCAGTATTACTGTAACTTGATTTTGCTAATAACCTTGGTCCTTTCCCTGTTAAATTTACTGTGAAGTGTAAGTTCTTTACTTTAAATCAATAATTTAAAGTTACAATCGCTATTTGCCTACACTGCATACTCATATTTGTTACATTAACTGTATTGCTCATAATTCCAGGGTACCTTTAACGTTTCGTATTCATATGCGTAAATTGAAAGGGTTTACATGCCGTTGTTCAATGCTCCCTGCTTCTAAAGGCAAACGAAGTGATTTAAGCAGCACATCGATCCCTGATACTTAATGTTGGGAATACATTGACCATACACCTCGTATCAGGTTATCGGTTGAATTAATGCCTCAATGCATATTTCTTTTCGTGATTCGATAGCCTTGTACTGTTTCATGTGGAATGCTTGTTTATTTCCGTTGTACTCCATGAAACAGCCCGCGTGGAGTCTAACATAAAGTCTAACCATATTCAAGGCTCAGAGCAGTCTGGTACTATGTAAAAAATCATAGCTGTTCCTAATAGCGTCGCCGTTGTAATTCTTTCGTCTTAATCGATTCATTTGATTTAACAGGTTTTGATGTCTCTTTTAATTGCACCGAGAGGCACCAGTCATTACAATAATCACTTCCGCCTGTTTTTAATTTTTTTTTGTTATCATTCTCAATTCTTGATACTTCAGTACTTTTTCTCTCACCTTAAAAACGATATTGATCATGGAATATAGGTTTATTTTTGTCCGCGTTATCGCTTTATCTACAAATGACAGATTCGGACAATGAATAGATGTTTATTTCTCAGCTGGTATCGGCAAACGCCAGAGTATTTTCATTTTCTCTGTGCCATCTGCATCGTTCTGTTGATGTTTCCATCACTGCTTGTTAAACTGGCTCGTTTACACAAAGGAAAAGCAAAGTTTGTAACCGTTACAGTGAGTGTTCCTTACAATTTCATGATGGCGGTCATTGCTGACGCCTTTGTTTTCATGAAGTTAGTTTTGGAGTGCTAATGTCGATTTGCGAGCCAACAATCATAAGCACCTTGTGATGGCAGGTACGATACCAGTTATGTGAGAAGCATAGGACATTGCCACCTGTTTCTTTCCCACTGTGGCATTCGTTCGTCAACGTCCGAACGAAGGAAAGGCAAATAACCACAACCAGGGTCGAAACGATCATTTCTTGATTTTGAGTCGGTCCTTCATCCGACTGAGCAACGCGAGTCTGAAGCAGCGCGTGCTAAATTTCTTGCTCAAGTAAATTCGTGGTTGGGACAAACTACCCTCGGCTGAAATCAAACCCGTCCCCTTGACAGTCAGACACTGTCAGCATGCCGCACCGGACAGCATTAACTGCGTGCGACTTCAATGAGATATTTAATCTACAACGCATCCGACTGATGATGACACCTGGTGCTGCCCAGGTTTTCATCATTCTCACTTTTCAGTGTTTATGGTTTGTCTTTTTTCAGGGATTCCCTTAGCATTGATTACCCTGTTTCATTTATCCTCCTATCCCTTCCTTCCTTGTTATCGGTTTAACTATTCTCCCAGTTCCTTTAGTCAGAACTGAGGAGATTCCGCTGCGTCATGCCAACGATTCCTTTGCAGTACTTTCAAGTTTGTTCTTTTCTTCAAGTTTTTTATAGTCTAATCTAGTCTGGTTTGTATGGAGTTTAGCCGATGCGACCAACAGCCTCTGTTTTGCGTTTTCCCGTGCATCTCTAATGACTTTGTTTGGTCCAGTCCCTGCTTGGTCATTACATTCGTCGTTGATGTGTTCTTGTTGCCACCGATAATTGTTATAGTTGATTTGCTTCTCATATTTCGCGTATTTCTTGCTCTGTATTCTTCATTCTACTTAATCATGAAGGCGTCATCGCCTGCATCGCACCATTGATAGATCCGAAATTTCTTGTCTGTATTGTCTTTACGTATTCACTGATTTCTTCACGCAACTGTTTCTTGCCTCTAATCGGCCGGATACGTCTCCTAGATTCTTCTAGCTGTCCATACTTTTAAACGATCGTGTGTCGAAGTTATTTTTACTTGTCTCTCAGCTGGATTATTCTGTCGCATAAACTATGCCACGGTTTTCTCTGAGACGACTTCACTAGTATGGCGAATTGATTGATCTGCTTTTGCATTGAGGTCATTATCAAGCGCTTTTCTACATTCACTCAGTTCCAAGTGTTTTAGCACCATGTTCTTTTCACTGGCCAGTTTGTTGACCGCCAAACGTTGCTCATTTGTATCGCTCTGTGCATATGCTTGTTTAGCACTTTATTATAGCCTTGTCCATTTCCTTCGACTACTGTCACATCAACAAGTGTTGAAGCATATGAAACATGTTCCGTCGGTTCACTTGTTGCCGACTCTCTCAGATTCCGAATAATCTGCGCCTCCATTGATTACCGGGCCATACACAGATCTTGTACAGGAACGTTTTCATTGTATTTTTTTCGTTATGGGTAGGTGGTTCATCTCAGTTAGTCTCGTTTCTCGCTTTAAACATGCGCGTTCAGACACGGATGACTCTAGCAGAAGCCAAAGTTTTCGCTGGCATTGATTTGATGATTATTTGCTCGACATCATGATATTGATATTCAAATTTAGCGTTTGATTATTGTTGTATTTCGTATTTTTTGGTTAGATTTGTTAATCGCTTTAATTGCGTGGTTGAAGACACAATTTTAACTGAAGTAATGATTAATTCCTCCAAGACCCGATTTCGCAGCTAGTTGCTTCACCCCCTTGGCTCTAGTTTCCTCCAAGGCGGGGAGAGCGGCACTTGACTAGGCCACGATTCCATCGTATTTGAGCACCTGCAGTGCCAGATCCATCTTGCATTATTTCGTCGGCTAGAGCTATCTAGTGTTCATCACAAACTATATTTGAAGCTGTTGTACTTATATGTTAGAGCATAAACACCATGAGTTTTTCTTACGCAAAAGTAGGTCGAATCACTCCTATACGCTTTTTTGGAGCGCCTCCGTACTCCTGAGTATCAACTCCTGAAACACTGTTTCGTGAAGATCTCCATGTGATTTTAGAGGACAAAATGATGCAAGATACACGTGATACCGCAGATGCTCAAATACCTTCGAACCATGATCCGTTTAAATGCCCCCCTCCCAGGCAGAGGGGCGATGAAATACACCGAAAAGTTTTATTCTTAGAGGAGTTATTCGACAGACTTTGTCATTCGAACTGCATATGATTTTGATTTAAACAGAAAGAAAGTCAGTACTTGTTGTTGACCAAGAAGACCAAACATGTTGACCGCAACTAACAGTGACAATCATCGGATTGTTGACTGTTGTTCTTGTTGTAGAAATAACGGAATCTGCGAGTTATATTACTAGGCTGATGAAGGCAGTAAACTTCCGCTGATGCCTTATCCCATCAAAATGGGAATACATCTGTCGTGTGAATACATTTCAAGTGTGAAAGTTTTCCATCGTTAAACTGATTTTTGATCGAATAGACATCAGTCGTCATCAGGACAATGCCAAACTTTAAATCTGGTAGATCTGTAAGATTCAGTCGTCTGCAGTACGGATTGTAATTAATTTCTGACACTATAATTGCTATATCTATTTTCGTTGTAAAGTTGGTGGTGTCATAGGGTACTAATGTATAGGCCGACGGTCATTTTCCTTTCTGTGCCTTCATTTATACCGCAAGCGCAACGGACGTCAGCCAACCGTAACAGCACGAAGTATGGAGCAGCAGCTAAATCGGTGTGCCCTTCTTGTGCGACTGTTGGCCAGGGCGGTGACCATTGCTGAAAACGCGGGCAAAATTGTCAGGAACGCGGTTGGCAAAGATCTGAAAATCGTTGATAAGGTATGTATTAAATACCATGCTACAAGCTCGTGGTCGCATGCCTACTTTGAGTCTACGTAAATTCATGATGGATGAATGCCAACTCGTCAACGGTGACGAATTTGGTGAAAGCAGCAAACTGCAGTCGCATTATTTTACACACGTTCGCTGAACTACGTGTGGCGAAAGTTCAGCAGCCGATTTTGCCACTCACTGACTCAGCCAGCGTTCATACGTTTATGCTGCTGTCATGTCGCCAGGTCAGACCAGTCCATGGATCATCTAATGGTCGAATGTCCACCCTACCGTCTAAATGTGGGTACAACTAAATACACAGTACATCGAAAACTGCCTTTCTTCGGTGGTTCTGAATTTTGCACTCTGATTCTGTCCTGTATGTTGTATTGAAAAGCATTAAAGTTACAAGTACAAGTCACACGCCTCGTACATTTCTGTACTTCTGTTTCAGGGTTTCAACGATCTGCAGACCGTAGCTGACAGAAGCTCTCAGCAGAGCATTATCGCCAGTTTCAGGGAATTTTTTGGAAACGGGTTGTGCGTCATCGGCGAGGAGGTATATCCTTTTTCAGCTGCTTTGTAGATATTTGGTCATACATTACCTATCTTGACAGGAGATCGTCGAGCCATCCGATGATCACATGCCGTTAGAGTGGGTCGAACGCGGCTTTGATCCGTTGGTTGTGGAACATGATTTAAGGATTTCGTCTGCTTTCAGACAAGTAGATATATCTGACGTAAGATTTTGGTTCTCTGATCACCGGTATTATCTTAATTCGTTATCAGATTGTAGTTTGGGTTGATCCGTTGGATGGCACTTCGGAATTCGCTGAAGGTAAGCTACGTTATAGACAATCTTAGTGTGGAAAATCATTGAACCGTCGAAGTTCATGCACTACCGTACCATCTGCTTTACAGTTTTTGCATATACATGTTGCGTCGGTTGCTCCCGGGCCAAATGTATTGCTTCGCTTTCATAGGAGTGCTCCAAGAATCACACACGAAACGAAGTTTATTACAGTATAGCGAACGTTTATGCTGACCACAAGAACCAGCACAATACCGACTTTTTTAAATGCCGGCAGATTTATTTATACACGTTGACTTCCGGTTGGACGAAGAGATGGCACTGTGGACCGGAAGTAATTTCTCTGTAATCGGTCGGTAGAATATTTGGGAAGCGCGCCAGCCAGTTCCTGAACGAGCCAGGTTTACCACTCGAATAAGCCACGGCGTCTTAAGCGCTACAGCGACATTCCCGACACAAACACGTTACACAGGCATTACAGACGTAACCTACTGGAAGCATGGCCCGTTTAAATGATACCCTATGCTATTAGGTGCATGGCCAGTGCGATTTGTCGTGTGAAACCGCAATACTGACGTATAATTCGGCATAATACAGAAGACTAGGAGCTAATGCACTTTTATAAACTTGTGTCAGTGCTTCCAATATCTAATACTCTTGACTCTGAACTTTTTAAACCTATGTCGAAAGGCTACTTTGTACGTGGCTGTTTACGGTTATTTTCATTATTACTTTAGAGTAGCGATCAGGGGATACACCAAAGATTAGATGGTTAAATGCTATTGAACAACTCGAGTTGTCGTAGCCTGATATGTTTAATTCAGCTAGTTTAACTTTCTAGATCAGCGTCGAAGCGGGATAATGGGTAACTCTCGTTAAAGTTGATCCACAGAAACTAAAAGGAATTCATGACTATGAAAATGAACGAATTTGCTCTTTAACGGCGTTTTAAACCCTACTGGGTTAAGTATCAGAAAATGGTCCTAAAGCTTCTACTTCTGCTGGCGTTGAATTCATGTTTAATCCAAAATTGTTTTGTAAAGTGCATCATAATACATATGAATAATTCCAATTTTATAAAATGGTCTGATCTCGTACTTATTCTTACTTTTCGCCATGAATGATGCGGGACAATAAATGCGGTGGGAATGAGGTTCCTTCGACGAAGGTTTTTTCCTTGTTTGCTTGACGAACTTCTACAAACTTCAGGGCAGGGCAGCCTGAAACACCATCGCTTGTTAGTCCTTGCTTTTCCGGATCTGGAAATTACGAACGCGTACATGTGATCTCCAGAGACTCACAAGATAAGCGTCATCGCAAAGCTTCCTAGTCAGCCCCAAGAGATAGGCTTAAGGACCCAAATAGCATCAGTGTTCTGACAACTGATTGAACTGATGGCCTTATGATCATGCCACATCGACCTACCCACTTGGACCAACACCGTGAACTTACGCTACTGGGCAAAGATTGTGAGGCTGCTGCCTCCTCATCCAGAAACGAACAGTTCAGTTTGAATTTTATTGACGGATATCATCATGCAAGAGTCCCCGTCTTGTGTATTAAGTTTCGTAATCAACGTTAAGTCAGTAGCTTTTAGGGCCATGCTATTGCGCATGTACAACTGCAGAACATGTAGCAGAGATAATTTCATTGACCCGCATATTTTAATGAACTACTGTTTAAAATATAAGAAGCGATTCAAGTTCCAGCCATTTTGTAACCTCTTTGTTAAATTATTATTTCGTTAAAGTTGATCGTTATGTTTTAATTTCAAGTCACTAGTTTTGCATCGCACCGACCCCTTGTTTCTAGGCGATCAGGAAGTTTTTTACGCAGACCATAGTTCCACGGTATCGTAGCACCAGCAAGCGTTGATATAAAACTGTATTGGGCGGAAAGTAGCCTCCTCGAGTACCAACACAACATATAACCAAATGTATATATGTTACCATAAATCCTTGTAATATGGTGGTCTTCCTAGCAGTAGTTAGTTTTCGATACCGCTGGTTGCAATTTGATTCACATTTGTGCTTTGCATGTACTTACTGGTGGTATCGAAAATTTGTTTTTTAAATAAATTTGGACTATTTACTGTTTTCTGTTTTACTGATTCATCTATTACAAGTGTACAGAACCTTGTCTGTCAGCAGAGATAACGGTTCTTGAAGTCGGTATTAATTTTGTTGCTCTAACAAGATAGGTCATAGAGGCAATTTAAGAAAAGAAACTTATAAATTACTCTCGTCAGACAGTGTGCAAGATGGCAGGTAAGAACACAAGTCAAACCCATTGAAGACGAATAACCAGACACTGTTCGACATCGGGATTTGTACACTGTTTCGATCTAATAAACTTTTAATGTACATTAAGAACCTTTCTTATTATATTATATCGTTCAGCTGGTTTTAGGTATACTGCAGAATGCAACGATTCTCATTGGGTTGGCACTGAAAGGCAGACCGATAGCGGGGGTGATTCATCAACCGTTCTGGAATCGGTCGCAGTCTGACTACATTGGCAGAACGGTATGGGGCCTGGAAGGTGTGGGAACTATCGGCGTCGATGTTCATCCGCTACGTGGTACGTGGTTATGTCGTTTTCTTGTATGTTTCGATTTTGACGATGGAAGTTGAGTGCGGCTCTTAGCCTCTTGCAACAGCTGTCAACTGTCGAACGTGACGTGTTCTCTCTAATGAGCAACGACAGCGAATGTTCATGTACTAATGTGTCAGACGATGTTCAGGCTATTGTAAGCATGAGTGAAGACTTGTTGATTCTGGCCTCTAGAGTCAGGTCCTTTCGTCCTACACGCTTCCGAATTCATCCTGTGACGGTCTAGAAATTGGAGAAACGTGCGATCTTATCCAGCATTGTGTCGTTTCGACCATTCTACGGTGAAAGCAGGGGGCAGTGGCCGTGGCCAATTTGTTACTAGTACTAGTTCTTTACACGTTAGAGTGCCGGGTTCGACGGCTACGTGCGGTTTGCACGTTATCTCATGATATGTTAATTCCCTTAAGAAAGAATTTCACCAAATTATGCATCGGTGCAACCAGCCGAAAAAGGGATATCATGGTGCTTTCGTGTGGCCATGACAAATCATTAATGATGTACCGTCATGCTGCCTGATGTCTGCGTTTTACGGCTGTAATTCGTTTTTATCTACCTGATAGCTGACTAAAAATTAGTACAAGATATAAAAGTAAATTTTTAAAGTGATCTGCAGGATCAAGATCAGTAGCTGATGCATTTCGCGTCACTTGGTTCAGTCAGTCTGTAAGTGATATTTGCATGAGGGAACCCTACCTCAGAAACTTGCCAAAACCCTGGATAAAGCTACGAAAAGGTACTAAACAATAGGCATAACATTGAAAGTTGATCCATATCAAGCTGACCAGAGTCTGGTCCAAAATGACCGTTCCTGTTTCTTCGTACTGATCACACATCGAACAGCGAATGAAATGATTAGCTTGCGGTAAGTCTCAATTCCGCATCTGCAAGTAACGTAAACGCTGCTAATGTCTTTGAAATTCGCTGTTGGAGACATTAGTACAGCGGGTGAATTTGGCCGGTTGGAATAGACTTGCCCAGAACAACTATTTTCTTTATCAAGCATCTGGTGAGGAAGAACCCAAACTCGTCAGCGCCGCGGTTACACAGTGCGCTAAGTACTTTCATAAAACTCAGGATGTGAGTCTGTTGTTTTATCCAGAGACATCAGAGATTAGTGCAACGTAGAGAAAGAGCCGTGGGATGCAGATTTGATTAAGTCTTTCAGGACTTGTGACTTAACGCAACCTCCTCAGTATACACAGCGACGAAACCGGTCGCTGGATTTTGTCAGCCTGTTATTGCCAACCAAGCCTTTCGTCAACAGTCAACCCCCAGGTCCTACAGATGAGTTTTTATTTTGAAACAAGTTGTCGCGGAACTGTAGATTTGGTATAACAATATCCTCACAAGTTGTGCTTACTAGCCCTCCCTTCCCCCCTCTCCCCACCACATGAATGTTGACGAAGAAGCGCAATAATTCAGCTCTGGACTGTACTGAAGCTAGTAGAGCATTATCGTCAATGTAGTTTTACGCAAGTGGTGGTAGCATCGAATGGATGATGTCGCGACGTGCGTAAGGTGGATAGTGCAGATGACAAACAGGATCCTTTTGCGATCCCTTGCCGTCACTCAAGCCGTAGATTTTTTCTGCCAACCTAAAAAAATTTTTCAGAATGTCGAGTAATACGTGGCCAGCAGTTTGATAATATGAGGGCTTCACATCGATGCTGGTTAACTGTCTGAACAGCTGGAACCAACTAGAAATCAGGGGATTGGTATATGCTGCAACTGAATGCGCATGGTGTTGACCCGGTATTCGCGAGAGCGACTGAGCAACCAACTGCACAGACGAAAATCAGGTTTTTTCTACCCTTATTTGACTTGCTTAGAAGTTATCAGTAGGTTTGCTAACATGTACATTTAAACCAGACGATACGCACTTTATCTTTCAAGTTCATATTTAGAATAAACAAAAATCACTGGTAACGGAAGCGAAGCATTTGCAAATTTTTCGAAACAAAAACAGAACTGCTTCTTTGGAAAAGAAGACGGCAGCCATGTCCGTCGAAATATTAATACATGAATATTAATAAGAGCAGCCTACCCCACGGTTTGCGGTACAGTCCTTCAACATCTGGAGAACTAATTGCCTTTTCGGAATGGCAATGTACCACGTGAAAGAAAGAATCAGTGTATCATTCTCAACTGACCTATATAAGGGTTCATAATATAACGCATGGATATTTTCGTGATCTGTAATTAGGCTATTGAAACTTTATGGACAAGGATGAAAGAGGTGAAGAAATGTATTGACTATTAAGCGTTCGTGTAGCCATGTGATCTCCATGTAGCAGCCAGTGTTCAAGTCACTAAAAAATTATCCCTAGACCGTGCATCCTCCTAAAGTGTTGACTGCTACACATAACAGCAAATAGGATCCGCACGTCTGAAGTCACCATTTCGCTTATTCATGGCACGCTTGCCAAAGACTGAGACATAAGTTTGGAATACACTAATTACAGCGGTCACTTACCACCATAGACCCATGCCAGCCTGACTCCAGAGCCGAAACAGTTGAGGCTCAGCGTCTATTGCCGTTTCTTTCTGTGACATTGCAGTTGTGAACTTCCGCGATAGAAGATTTCACTGGCGCTGTAAGCTCGTTTCTATCAAACGACACTATGTCCAGCAGCACTTTTAGCCCGCCAGACTAATATCTTCAGTGAGCATCAGAGACTATGCAAGAGTTGCCTAACTTTCAGAACGATGTCCCTTTATCTTATGGATATTTTGAACTCCAACTTAAACTTGGTCATCATCATGTGAGTGTTGTCATCGAAGGACCGTTGTGTCAAAATGAAAAATGTCCTCCGACCATCGTGTTTATGAATCAGGGGCCAATTCATATTTCTTCTGGTTGCTTGGCCTTTTCTACTCTGTCTCATTTGAGCAATGGAGATGTAGAACGCGGTAGAACAGTCTTGTTAGTTCTGAGTGAGCAGATGCTTGCTTGTGATTCAGAGCTCACCATTGCCTTCCACAGAGGAAAGCTCGTTCGCCGACCTGTTGAGTAATGGCAGCCGATTCCAAGCCACTAGATGGTTATGACTACTAGTAACAACTATAGGAGAACAAGCCCCACCGTACTTCATCTTGCCAAGCGATCGTTTACTTTGATGGTTGTCCAGTCTCAGCGACACGGACTAGAGTATGGTTTATTGGAAGCAACTCCAATATATTATTATTGAAATATACTCAATAAAATAAAATAAACCCAATAAACTAATGCGAAAGCTACAAATATTAATTAGTAACTGGACTACTTTACACGCAACGGAATGGTAAAACGTTGCACGTTATACGTATATACCTCACTGTTGTGTGTAATGTAACAAAGCTGTGAACATGTCATTTAAAAATATTATTTGAGATTGGTTTGCAAAGTTAAATCTGAAAGTAGTTTTTGAATAGTTTGTTTATAAGTATGAATTTTACGGTTATATGGTTGTCAGGCAGAAAAGTGATTGCGACGACCAGATCGCATGGCAATGAGTTGATGACGGAAACGTTGCAGGCGATGAATGCCGACGAAGTTCTCAAAGTTGGCGGTGCGGGCTACAAGGTAAAGTCAGAAAATTCATGTATGTAACTTTTTTTGCATTTCTGGTCGTTCTTAGGTATTATTATTACTGGAAGGAAAGGCAAGCGCTTACGTGTTCGCCAGCAAAGGGTGCAATAAATGGGACACATGTGCACCGGAAGCTGTATTAAGAGCCGCAGGTACTTTTATGTTTGTTAGGTCGACGGTTGCAACATATTCGCTCAGGATGCCTGCATAATTTCACTAAAGTGCCTCGCTTTTCATTATCAGATTTTAGAGATCATAGAGAGGGCAATGTTCATAAATTATTGAACTGTTCTATGCTACAGTACGACTTACGAATTGTGCAAGACCAGGTTCTATCATCATTACTCTTGACAGCCTATTCTAATAAACGTCGTACTGTTTTTCCAAGAGAGTGTATAAAATAGAAAAATTGCACGTTCGTATTATGTTTTATTAGGTTTTTTCAGTGACGTTTAGGAATGTATTTAAACGACCAGTCTGTTCAGGAATGATTGACTCATTAAACTCATTAAACCACAGTAAGACTGAAGAACATTTACTCCTGCAATGACGTAAGATACTCCCTATCTTTCAGTTTTGCTACAGGGCCAAGTAAATCGTTATTTTCTAGTACAAACTACATTAGTGAGATCGTGTAAAAAACCAAGAGGGTCGCTAAACTATAACTGTTTAGCTAGTTTTTAAAATACCTAATCTATGCAAAGTTCAAAAAGGATTAGGGTGTTCTGCTTAACATATACATTCTGTCTTGAAATAATTATGCTTTACCGGTCTGTAACTTGTTCTTTCGCAAATCGTTCATTCTTAAACTCAGCTGGTTCTGAAGACAGAACAGATGAACGGCCTATAGCAATGTCACACAATTGCTAATAAATCAGACTTTAAGATCTCTTTTGACTTATTACTCAGTGTAACGGATGTCAAGTGAGTTGTCATCTCCAGGCCTGTATTTTCACCGTTTGCCACTGCTTCCTGTCCTGCGTAAGATATTAAGGAAATTAGTTTGACGCTGACCGCTTCGCTCTCACGTTGTACCTCTTTGATGTACGTTTTTGATGCAAAGCTTCTCAATGCGATGTATATACAACAGATATAAGCAAACAGGTAGCCACGTTAGTTAGCTGGCCGATCCCAGCTACTCACTCACAAAGGTCAGTTTGTTGTATACTTGTACAAACCCAAAACCTGTTGTGAAATTGCGCAATTCTATTTTAAATTACCCTCTTCATCGCCTGCACAATGTTCACTTAAGGGATAAATGAATTCGGTCTACAGGTCATGGCATGTCTTCCTAGAAATCAAACAGGAAATTTCTCATCCGGATCTGGAACAATGCCCCGGACAAAACCCCCATGTGGATAAAAGCCGTGTAAAGAATACATGTCTCCCACTCATCATCAAAAAGGATCTTGTTGAATTGCCGATGAAATTCTAGTCTCAGAGGTCTTGTAACCCATAATGGAATCTGTAAAATCGAATAAAGGAAAAGAGAAGGTGGTTTTCGAAGGTCATGTTTCCGTGAAGCAGAAAAATATGGAAAACAATGTTGTATCGTTCGAGTGTGAAAGAAGACGCGACAAGGCCAAATGAAAAGCAATTAAAAATAAAATTCGAGAAGAGGAGCTTCTAGAACGATTAAATAATCATTCTCATGGTCCAGATCCTGCTCAGAAATTAATTCGCACAAGTGTTTTTGAGAGGTTTTGTCCGGGAGGTTATTGTCCAGGGGGTTTTATCCGGTTACCTGTCATCCTGCTGATAGTTCAGACTTTGCAGAATGGCAAGGCCTGATTCTACTCGAATCAGTGCTGTCGATTCAATCTATTTCGATTTCAGTCTCATTACTTCCAACCAATTTTACTCTTTTTCTCTTACTGTTATGGTTTTCTTTCGTTGCTTTTGATAATAGTTTAGGTTACGATTTTAACTGTAACGAATTCTCTGATCCATAATTAATGGTATCAAACAAAGCTGATGGTAGGTTTTTTTACTGAGAATGCGTTCACTATCACACATCACAGGTGATAAGATCGAGAGCGAGCCGCCTTATCAAGGCAAACACGACACGTGAAAAACAGAAAAAGTTACACTTTGACTTTAGTCAAGGAACTCGTGTCGCTCAATTGCGATAAGTCCCAGTTTTCACCGATAACGATTTTAGGCTAAAATTTATCATGTATAATAAACAAACCGTCTGCTTATTTTCGAACACGCAGCATTAAATGGCTACTTGAAGGGAAGTCGAAAAACAAAAACAGCGTAAAGACGGATGATTGACACAATACACAACAGTTAAAGATGTTAGTAAATTCAGGTTGTCAAGAAAACTATGGCTAAGGAGAGTAGAGTATTCACCAAGCACTTGCTTTTCTTTCTGGCTGATGAGAAGAAAACTTATCTTTTTCTCCTTCGCAAATACGATTGTGCATAACAATGTTACAAAATTGAACGGGATTGTTGAAAACCGTGCACCCGATACGATGGGTAGCGTTGAGGGCTGTTTGAACTAATGACTTCCCGACTATGAAAAGCCTTTACAAATTGACGGAGTGCACGGCGGCGAGTGATGAAGCCTCCGGACTACCGTAGCCCATCGGAGTGGAGCATGTCCATAATTGAAAGATGCAGTTCCGAATAAATTGGAAGAGGACAGAGGTGTCGGCCTTGAGGCGAGATAATCATGAAGGATAACTGTGAATCTCTTGGGTTTGCTAGCTGGAATTAATATTTGTTTTTGCGAAGCCGGATAATTGTAGGTTCCGACGTGGAAATAACTGAGAATTCGTGTTGTCGTAAACGGCAAGAAAATGAACTTTCACGCATCAAGTTGATCAGTTGTTGAGACTGGTATTTTTTGACGCAAACACGATTTTGAATGTTCAGCTTTATGTCCTTCTGACCGTTCCAGACAGTTACTTTATTTAATCGTTTAAGTATCGCATGATCTCGCTTCAAAATTGATCGTTTTCATTAGGGTTGAATCTCATGAACATTTAATTACTTACACAGCTGTTCATATAGCGTTATTTTTCCTGCTTCTTCATCTTCATCTTCCATC